GATGAAATTGCTGACCAGCTTTTAGTAAAGATACAGTGGAGGATATTTGATTCATTAAATAAATGGCGGTTGGAGTGGGGTGTGGGTGAAGGTAAGCTTAGGGAGGAGCCTTTTACAAGCTAAAATGAAGGTTTTAATTAGCATAGAATGTATAAATACACTAAAATGTTTCCAATTAAAATACATTTAGCAGAATTTTAATGTGTTTATCAGAGATACTACATTTTAAAAGTTATTCTTTATTTGTGAAATGTTGATTTGTTCAGTATATTATCTGATGTTTAAGTGGCTGAATTCTTTTTGCAAAACTTCTATATCATTTAACTTTGATGTTGACTCATATTTCATGGTTTCTGTTGTTTCATATATTCTGTTTTAGGAATTGTTTTGTATATCTCTTAATTTTCTCTATTCCATCAGCTAAAAAAGATTAGATCTTTACTTTTGGCTGGTGCTGCTGAGTATGATAACTTCTTTCAACATTTGCGACTTTTGGATGGAGCCTTTAAACTATCTGCTAAGGATCTGCGGTCTCAGGTAGTGCGGGAGGCTTGTATCACGTTGGGGTAAGGATTGTGATGCTCCAGATTCTCACACATCATAAAATAGCCTCATCACAGAGCTTCAGAGATGGTTCATTGAATCTGACCAGTGGGTCTTTTTATTGTTACTTCTGACTAGTTCTCCAGACCCATTTAATTACACTTTTGCTAGTACTTTCACAATATTTCTTGCCCAATTATGTAAAGTGTGACAGATTTTAAACTTTATTCAGTGACTCAGCTCTGAAGCCTCTATTTTAAATTTGAGTTGTTATTAATAATACAAAAAAATGAAATTTATCTATTTCTCATTCTTCATTGATTTTACTGACAGGATATAGCATGATTATCAGAATTTTTGTTTCTAGAATAGTACTATAGCTGTAAAATTAAAGGCATGTACTGCAGTAAAATTGTCTTCTGGCTAAACCTTTGTTATTTGAATCTGGAACTTTCAAGTGTATCAGAAAATCAAAGCAGCAGCAACATAAGGGGCATTGCAGCTGTTTTAAAAGTTTGGCTGCAGTCATGTGAAGCATGAATATTTTATGGTAAAAATTAAAGGGCTAAAGAAAAAAATGAGGGAGCGTTTTCATGTTTATGTTTTACGACTGTATGATCAATTTGTTTGTTTTTTTGCTATTTTAAGACTAATTAGTTGGAAATGGTTTATTTTAAAGGAACAAACTCTTGGACTAATAGCTGTTTACCAAGTCCTCTACATGTACACTGGAAGGATCTGAGACTTTTGTTCTTATCCCTAGATAATTTTAAATGAAGGTTCTAAAATGTTGAGGTTTATATTCTTAAGTGTTTGCAAGAAATATAACTACAGTCCAGTATTTATTTCTTATTTTAGGCATCTGTCATCAGTTCTGGGGAATAAATTTGACCATGGAGCTGAAGCCATTATGCCAACAATCTTTAATTTAATTCCAAACAGTGCCAAAATTATGGCCACTTCTGGTGTTGTAGCTGTTAGGTTAATCATTCGGGTAAGTATGTTTTGGGGCTATACATAGAATAAGCAACTGATAAATATTGGTGGTTGATAAGCAATATTTAGAGGCACTTTTCATTAGAGTGACTACATATAGTTGGAATCATGTTATATATATACAATATTGGCCCTTTTTTCACTACTTAATTATAGCACATGAGCCTTTTACATTTCATGTTGTGAATTTCAGTTACTAAGGTGTTGGTGATCATAGACCCATCATTGCTCTTAAATATTTGAACATCTGCATCTGTTTCTGAGTTTCCACTCTGTTCTTTGTTTCCAGATATCACTCCCATTCTTCCCTCCTTAATCCCCAGTTATTTCCACTTTAGGTATTTGTGCTGTGGTTTTGTTATTCATCTGCAATTGTTATTTAGTTAATTATATATAAGCACAGAAACAAAAAATTCTCTTCAGTTAAGTTTTCTAAACATGCATTTAGTTTTAAATAATTATCTGAGTAATTTATGTACAAGGTTTTAATAAAACCTGATAGTTCACAAAGGCTTAAAATAAAAGTTCTCCATATCACCTCTTCTCACCTTCAAGTGTCTTTTTCCCAGAGGCAGCCCTTGTAGCTGGGGCTTGATGATGTTGACTAAAATTGAGGCAGAATACTCCTGATTATTGGGGTTACTTACTTTGTGTTATTTTTAATTCTTAATGCACTTTGAATCTTAAACCCAAAGCCATTATTGGACATTTCCATTGAAACGATATCAAAATAAATTGGTCTGCTGACCACTTTTGAACTCACTCAGATCTCTGCTGCTCAGATAGTTCAGACTTTGTAACAATGATTTGTTTTAATTTTAGACTTATTTATATGGTGTCATGTCTGATTTGGCTCTGTAAATTTTGTCATGGCCTTTGTCAATATCAAGTGATGCTCTTTCCTTTTTAAACTTAGTGAAATTCAAATCTGAACATGTATGTGCTTTGGGTAGTTTAGTAAGGAAGTAATTGTCTTAGTTTTGTTTTATTTTTGTATTTTCAAATGTTTATCTCTCTTTTTTTTGTTGTTCTTTTCCACAGCACACACACATCCCTAGGCTAATACCTGTCATAACAAGCAACTGTACCTCTAAGTCTGTTGCGGTTAGAAGGTAAATTTTAAAACCGTTTCCTTTTTACTTTTAATTGTTTAAAAACCAAAACAAATTTCAAATTTTCCTCAGTGGGAGTAAATTTGTTTGGAATGTTTAATATTATTTAAGATTGCTGTAATAAATGTCTTTGGAGGAAGGATTTATGATCTAAATAGTCAGAAAAGTAAATTTGGACAATCTATTGTGTGTGGGGTAGGAAGAGAAGGAAAGAGGAGGTCGGGGAGAGAGGGAGTGTGCTCTCTGGTGTTCCTTCTTAGAATAGTGCTAGTCCCATCAAGAGCTCCACTTAATTATCTCCTGAATGCCACATCTTCAAATACCATCATATTGGGGATGAGGGCCTCAACATAAGAATTTTGGGGTAACACAGTTCAGTCCATAGCATTTAACACTTCTGGCCTCTGGTGTTAAATGTGAATAGCAGCCTACAATCTGTGACAATAGAAATACCACCTGCTTCATCAGCTTCTGAGCAACACACCCAGATTGCTATTCTTATATTTAGTCAGAGCGAGTGTCAGTCAGGACCATGTGTCTTAGTGCTGAAAGAAGTAAGAGGAACCATCTGGCCTAGTCCCTCTGCCTTCAGAAAGGTAAAGAGAACCAAAGAGAGTAGTATAACCAAGGCAGTGTGCTTTTCTGTTTGAACCTGTACCTGGCTTTGTAGAACTTGTAAGAAATGGATTGTACAGTCTCCCGCCTTTATGAAGTTTATAATTTAGTTGGGGGATTAAAAACAATAATGCAAAGTAATGTGAGTGAGTTACAGCATATGTATTATGGATTTATGAATTCAGAGAGAGCAATGATTAAAACCAGCTGATACATTCCCGAGAAGCTTCATAGCGGGTTGAAAACTGAATAGCTGTTTGAAAAGAGAGAAGTTCTTACCTGATGTGTTTAATTAATGTGTTTAAATAATGCCAACATTATAGACTTCTGTGTATGACAATCTAAAAAGTTGAAAATAAAACCTAAAATACTTTGTTCTAACACATTTATGGTAAGAATTAGCACTAAAGATGGCTGTTTTCTCTAAGGGATAAATAAATATAGACATATGTACACACACATTACAGAAAAGGGGGACAAGAAAAGTCAGACCAGTAAATGATATGGAGGAAAGGGCAGAAATAGAATAAACATGGCCTAGGTTGGAGCAGGAGTGGGGAAAGTGACAGTAAGGAAATGATGTAGGCATAAGCCAGGGTCTTTCCTTGGAGAAAGTTTGCTTTACAGACCCCACGCTCTCCACTGTTACCAGCCCAAGGACTGAGTCAAATAGCTGTCTTGTGTGCTTCTAGAGTTTCTTGTGCTCCTGGCCTATGGTAACTCTTTTTTGACTGTCTTGCTCACTGGTTGTGTCTTGGTTACCACTGTATCTCTAGCATCTACTGTAGAGTAAAGATTTATTAAAGATTTATTGAGGTTTCGAATTGGGAGGATCATGGAAAAAGTCTGGTCATTAGAAAAAGATTACCTTTTGATTTGTTTTCTTGGAGGTTTCCTAAGACTATTAAGATTTACCCCTTCAAAGCTGGATATCCTGGACGTCACCCAAAGTGGTGATACAACCCAAAGGAGATGAGACTGGAATTGTTTTAGTGCACAAATCAGGCCAAGAAAGATCACAAGAAAGGATGTTGAAAGATTAAAGAGAGGAAAATAGCTGAGTGTAGCTAGAAAAAGAATATTTTAAGCACTACTTAGGACCATCTTAGGAGGAAAATTTGACATTCTGTTTTTCAGATATTTTTCTTTTGCTTTTTTTCTGCAAGGCATTCTGTGAATTAATGCAAAGACCGATTGCCTGGTTTTGTAATGTACGTTGATCTTTTTGTGCATGTTTACATCCTGTATTAATGGATTATATTTATGGTAAAGAGAATGATGTACCCTTTTAATAATGTTGCCATGAAGCTCAAGTTTCTGATTTGGAGGGAACTTTTGTATCCTGTTCCTATATATCTCTCTGTGATTTTTCTTTTTGACCACTATAAATGCTTAATTTTTTCATTTGCTTTGGTTTTCAGTCAATTCTGATTCCATCTGTGTTCTGTTTTTTAATCATAAAAATTAAAAGAAATTTACCAATTATAAAAGGTAGTATTGGGTCACTTAAGAAAAATTTTATTTTTACTAACATACAAATTACTAAGTTACACATACTTTTCTTTATAATTTCAGGCGCTGTTTCGAATTTTTAGATTTACTTTTACAAGAATGGCAAACACATTCACTGGAACGGTGAGCATCTGATTTGCCATTTTCTCCTCTGAATTGAATCTTGTGATTTAATGCTTCAGCAAGTAGTCCAGCCCACTTTCTGTCAGAAGTGAAGGAATCTAAGCATTTGTTCACATGACTGCTTTTGTTATTTCTGCTGATGTGAGGCATGTAATATTGGTAGAAGTCTTTAATGAAGTTTATTGATTGAGGCATTAGTGTGACTAGAGAATATGGGTAGGTGTGCACTATGACAACTTCAAAGCCATTATTGACTCTTCGTTGACCCTGATTCTGTGGCTTGAGCTTGACAGTCCTGTCAGTTCCATGAGGTAAATGTTTAAAGCTGTTCTTAGTAGGCAGAGTGTAGCTCTTAGGTCCTTGAAGGAATTTCAGTCATTTGAAAATTTCCTTTTTTGATCTCTTTATATCAAGAAGTCAGCAGTTTTCTCTTTAGTCAGGTTGGTGTATGGTAAGTGTCACATCATCATAAAAAGTAGGATAATGACAGAATTCTTGAAGAAGCATGGCTCTTAATTTTGAGATTCTTCCCCCGCCCCCATTTTTAGTTTCTGTCAATCTTAGGTGCTTGTTATTCTTTCTAAATTTGGGGAACTAGATGATGATATTGTGCCATCCATTTTTTTAATGGTTTATTGTATAGTTTGTGAAGAACTTTACAACATGTCAAACATTTTATTAGAGTGGAATTTTATAAATTAAGTACTCCTGGGAGCCCCATTTTATATTGCATTAGTCAGAGGTGAAACAAAGACAAGCCTCCCACAGATAAAATTTCATTTGAAAATAATTTTAGTTTAGAAGATAGTCACACAGTTTTTCAATATTCTTGTTCTTTAATCTCTTGAATATTATATTCTCTTTATTTGGTGGTACTTTTGGAGTTTAGAGGTAGAAAGTAGAATGAGGGATTTAAGGTGGGGACAAGTGAGTAAGGCAGAAAAACACTAAGAACAGGTGTTGCCTCATGTATTCATTCACCTCTTAGCTCAGTGTTTGCCACTTAGCAGGTACTTACTAAATATTTATTGAATGAATGAAGGAATGAGGCAAAGACTTTGAATGGGCTGGTAAAATCAGTAACTAGTCTTTGTTCTGTGAAACTATTCATTCCTGTCATTTCCCTTTTTTAAAAACTTCGTTAAATGTTTAATGAGACTGTTTAATGATTTCTTCTCAGCTAGGGTAGAACATAACTAAAGAGAATACCTATTTATAAAACGGTTACATAATTTTACAAAATCGTTCATGATACATAGTGGAACTTGAAAAAACAATCTGTTTAATTATAGAAATGTGATGCAGATAGCTCTTTAGTATTAAGATTATTATCATTAAAATTTCCGTAGAAACTAGTTCTAACTGTGGAAAAATAGGGCTTTGTTTTTTTGGCTCATAAAAGATTGAGCTAAATAAGTAACACTTGAAAAAAATCAGCCATAAGTTAAAAAATCACACCAGAGAGTAAGGTTATCAGGGTAGTTAAGTGGGGATGGGTACTGAGACAGAATTAGAGGATCTGCAAAGAGTGTCTGATTTTCTAAGCTGCATGTTAGTTGATTCACATGGCATAAAGGCTCTAAGTTCCACATTGCCATTTTGAAGTTATTTCTCATACTTGTTTCCATCCCCATAAAACATGTTAGTGACTATTACTGCTTTCTTTTCTAAATATTTAGACACATATCAGTATTAGCTGAAACAATAAAGAAGGGAATACATGACGCCGATTCTGAAGCAAGGATAGAAGCCAGAAAGTAAGTGTTTATTTGTACACCACTTTTCTATTCACTACTTTTATTTTTCAGATGCATTATTTAGATTACCTTATTAAAAACACATTAAGTGACATGAACATTTTTCATTAATCAGGACTTTTATATATGACCCCAAAAGGCCATTTCAAAATATTTCTGTAGTTTTTTGTTTAGGAGGTTGTTCAGTGCCCAGACCTGAAAGTGATTGCATTATTTTAATTTAAACAGGACTGAGGTAGACAACGGAATGGTCATTTTTCAATTTATGAGACATTTCTATTCCTAGAATTAGGAAAGCACTGTGTGCAAGCCATAATCCAAGTCGACTTCTTTTTTACTGTGAATAATAATAACCATCATGGGGCTCCTTTCCCTATGATCACATCTTTGCAAGCATCAGGTGGTTGATAGGAAGTGTGAAGCACCGTGAGGGTAGGTGGAGTGAGCTGATGCTCAGGATTATCACAGTGGTAACTTGCTGTGGCTATTTCACATTTGAGGTAGTTTTGCCATTATTGATTCCGCTCTAGTCATGTGGCTATGGCCCCATACAGTCAGTACCTCCCTAGGAATTATTTTGTTGTCATGATAGGACAGTAAATACCAGAAGTTTCATGTTAAGACTTTCTCCCTGGCAGCGCATAGATAAGTACTGCCAGTTTTGCACCTGTGATAGTTTTTTCCTGTGCTTTTGTACTTGACCAACTCTTCTCCTTGACATAGGTTAAAATTTATTCTCACTAGCCTGGAATATGGTGGTTTTACTTAGCTGCATTAATACATCTTGATCCCAGTACTTGTTGCTTTTTGACTGCTCTCTCCGTTAAATGACATTTCTCTGTTTTCTGAGTTATTTGGCGGACCTCACTATGACACTGAAGTGCTTACCGCAATCTCATCTTGGCTAGTGCCTATCTAAATAAGGGACATAATTAATAGTTGCTAAAAACTATTAGGAATGGATTTGTTAATGATCTACTTATGCTGTTTTTAGCCTTAAATTGTTTTCTCTCCCTTCCCCAATTTTTTCTAGTTCTTTAGTCATAATGCAATACAGATTTCAAGTAGCTCTCAACATCTTTGCATTTTCTTTTGTACATATTATCTAAGGCAATTTTAAATACTTCAAGTTGATGAGCGTCAAATCGCATGGATAAACGCTACCGTTGATGAGTCTCACTCCCATGTTTTAAGTATAGTTCTAAATGTTTTAACTCATCTTCCCTAAGGCTTTCCAGTCTTCTTGAAAGTTAGGCCCTCTAATTTCCAGTTGTAAATGAGGCTGAGATTTAGAGAAGTTTCGTAGCTTGCCCAGTGTCAGTAAACCATGAAGTTGTGAGGTCAGGATTCATCCCGGGACTCCTTCGTTCAGTCTCTTCCTTATACCATTTTGGTACTAGGAGCAGATAAACTGAGGATTCTAGTCCTTGAAAACGTTACATGGTGTACTCCAGAGCTCAGTGAAATACCCGTTATGATTCACTCACTATAACAGGAATTTGTGTGTTTTCCCCGAGGTGCTACTGGGGTTTCCACAGTCACTTCAGCAGAGAAGCAGAGCACTTATACCATACCCTGGAGTCCTCCTACCAGAAGGCCCTGCAGTCCCACTTGAAGAACTCAGACAGCATCGTATCTTTGCCTCAATCTGATCGCTCCTCTTCTAGCTCTCAAGAGAGTCTAAAGTAAGGAATTCATTAGTGTGAAATTTTATATTTAAAAATTTACTGCATGAGAATGTAAATTCTGGCTGTGTTTTTACATATATGTGCCTATTATAATTCCCCCTTACTTCAGGTGGGTTCTGGTACTAGGTAAGATACTGCGGGAATGGTAAGAAATAGGTAGCCTTGATGTCTGCCATAAGTAGTTTTTAGTTAAATTCATATGGTAGTCTAATAATACAGTTTTCTAGTAATGTAAATGAATTATTCAGTGTCTTCTAAGAACCTGTATGTATTAACTTGGAGATAAGTTTGGAGAGAGAGGGCATTCAAAACTTGGAACGTAAGTATTATTGTCTTTACTCTGTGTTTCTAATGTGTCTCTAGTTAAGACTTCTCTCAGTGTGTTTGGAAGATCATCAAAAATATGATATTAAAGCTTTTTCTGAAATTGGGGGTTTATAAGATTATGGCCTAAATTACCTGAGAAATTCTGAAAGCTCTGAAATAATTCTTCATTATCATAACTTCCAGTTATGATTGTATTTGTATTAATGCAGATAAAATGCACATTTAATAATAGGTGTATACCTTTATTTTCAGTCGGCCACTCTCTGCCAAAAGAAGTTCTACTGGAAGTACCACCTCTAGAGGTAAGACTGACAGTGTGGAGATGGTGGTCCCCAGGAAGCCTCTGTTATTTACCTCAAGAATTGCTTAACTGCTCTCACTGATCGTAACTGACTCTGACCAATTGCCTCTTACCTGCCAGTGCTGGCTGGCTCCTGATTGGCTTGCTTGGAGCGTGCAGCCTTCTTCCCCTTCTTGGCTGAAGCAAGGCGGACAGAGGACGCAGACCCCAGCTTGGGCAACGGAATCAGCCAATCACCATCCACTTCATCCTCTCTTTCCCCCTCCCTCCCCTCTTCTTTTTTTCCTCGCCCCGCTAGCTCATGTGCTCCTGGCACAGACTCCTGGCGTGAGGCCAGCGCCCGGACTGGACAATTGTGATTGAGGCTGGGGGGAGAGAGGATGGATGATTAAGGAGCAGAGGCCTAGAGAGAGATGCGGAGATTTGAAAGCCGAGATGGAGGACAGTTTTCTGAACATTTTCTCAGGCACCTGACAAAAAAAGAAAAAAAAAGTAGGCTGTGCTGTTCCCAGAGGCTGCTCAGTGCTGGAAGCCAGCAACCTGCCCTCAGCTTCTTCTCAGGTTTACAGTGTGCTGCTCTGCTCTGAGTGCTGACTGTTCCCAGCAGAGCTCTATTTTCCCAGGGACCGTTAACTGTAAGGAAGACATTATCAGGATGACTTAAGCAGGCAGAAATTGAGCTTTGTGACCTTTTCTTGCACACCTCCCTCCAGCATGTATTTACTGCCACAAATAGTACAGCTCCTTTACTCTGATCACTTGATAAGAGAGAGAGTAAAGACAACTTGTGATGCTCTGAGCAGCAGCTGCAGCTTGGTAGCTGTTAGAGGTGAGAGAGTGGAATGTTTCCTGAAGGTGGGGGAAGGGGGGGCATCTAGGCAGCAGTGCATGTTTCTGCCACAACGCGAGCAAACTGGCCAGATGTAAACTTTTATTGTTTCACTTCTCATATTAACCAGAAATATGGTCCATTTCTTTGGGGTTTATGGTCTTTGATTCACAGGAAGACAGATGTAATAGGTGTGTATAATTGTGGTCGCTTTGAATTCCCTCAGCATTGCCTGGACTCTTTGTCTTCAGTGACTGTGAGAAACTTTGTTATAAAGAAGAACAAAACGTGTTTTAACAATATACGTTTAAAAGTCTAGTGTAGTCCTTACTAACATGTCCTCCTTTCCCACTAAAGGGTCTACGGTTAGCACCAAATCTGCATCGACGACTGGTTCCCTCCAGCGGTCTCGAAGTGATATCGATGTGAATGCCGCAGCCAGTGCCAAATCCAAAGTCTCTGCAGCTTCAGGCACCACGCCATTCAGCTCTGCAGCGGCCTTGCCTCCAGGGTCATACGCATCCTTAGGTAACCAGGCCCCTGCCGCCTTTCCCCCAGGTTCTGCTATTTGAGATGATACTTTTCCTCTGCTCACATTTATTTCTTTATTTAACTAGGTATAAAAAACTGTATTTGAGGAAATGCTCGCTGTTGCAGGGCTGATGTTTAAGTATAAGTAACTCTGCACTTACTTCATTGAGTGTCCCCCATTTTTGGAGCAGCATCCTTTTGGTGCTCGCGTAGTGCGTGGCACTGAGCATGTCCTTCCCTCAGCTCCACTTCCTGTTCGTGGCAGCCCAGCCAGCACCTGCACCCCCTTCCTTCTTGCCACAGCTGGATTTTCTTGACACTGGTGGGAGCAGAGACAGAAGGGTTTTAGTGAGTTCACCAAAGATAGTCATCGTACTTAGATATTTTCTAATTTGGGAATGTAATAGGAGTAGCGAAGGTGTGGCAGGAGGGGGAGAGGGATGACAACAGAAGAATGTGGTGGACTTATTAACCAACAAAGCCATATTGTTGTCCTTCCATGTGTCTCCTTGTGTGAGGAGCATGTGCGTACTCTTAATGATAGCCTGAAAGATTTAAAAAATTTTTTTTCAAAAGGATTACTATCTGACAGTGATAGGTTGCTTTCTTAGTTTCTGGGCAGACACTTAACACCTGCTTTATATAAGGCTGATAGTTTATTTCATTTTATTGTTAGAGCAAAATCATACAAAATCATACAAATCTGGGGACTTAGCTATATCAGTTGTATTTTGGATTTTATGGAGATGAATACAGTTTAAACTTCATGAAACATTGAGACCAAATTACTTACCTGGTTTATGAATTAATTCCAAAATCAATTCTAAAACTAATGTTCTAAAAATGTTTTGCACACTGAAGTGTAGTTAGAGACTAGCAAGAGAGGATAACTAGGCCCGCTGTTCATTAGCTTGGTGACCTTGAGCAGGTCACGGAACCTTTGAGTCTGTCTTCTCTACCCACAAATTAGTGGTAGTAATAGCCATCTAAGTCAGATATATGGGATACATGAATTATATAAAAGGGAAAGAAACTGTGATTATGATAGAAACATTAATTTGAAACATTATTAAATTATTCTGGAATGTTTGTTAAATCAGTTTTGTTTTTTTTATGGACATAACACAGACATGGATATATTTAGCTTGGGAAGAAACCCAACCGGAGCTGTTGTTTTCTACCATTTAACTGTTGTAACATTGCGTTGGAGTTTTTATGATAATTATGTTGATATGTGACCACTGAGCAAGAGGGAAGTCAGAACTCTTCTTTGCTATGGTGAAGTAGTTCTGTTATTTTTAGTTCAGTTTTTTAATTACTTACCTGTGTTTCAATACATTTAACCCACCTTCAGTATTTGTAAATAGTATTTGTTTCATTGCTAGCAAACTTGAGTAAAAACCAGCATTTAGAGTGTTCAGCAGCTTGTTTTCTGTGAGTATTTGGGATATTTTAAAGTTGCAGTGTAGACTTCCCTCAGTGCTAGAAAAAGCACCCAGGTCTGTCTTTCTTGTGATGTAGAACTGACCTTTTAGAATCATTGATGATAAATTTTCAGCCCAGTATTACCTCCTCAAATAATAAGACTGGAGTATTCCCACTTTCTTACCTTTTCCTGGCTTCTCAACCTTTAACTTTCCATGTGAACATAACAACAGAAAACAAACAAACAAAAAACACCCTGAAATATAACATCCTACTGAGAAGTTGTTGCAGTTACTGCTTAGGTTGATGCATTATATCTGTGGAAGTGTAGCATTAAAGCTGACGATCCTTTTCCAAACTTCTAGAGTCCAGACACATGAGGGAAGATGTGGAGTCCGTAGGCCTTGACTCAGGTACCACGCTGTACAGCTTTGCTGCCGACATGTAGTTGGGATAGGCATTGCTAGAGCTAGCTTCTCTGAATGTCTTACCTTCCTCTGCCCTTTGAGTGACTCTTTAGTAGTTTATAGTCCTGTGTGTCCCCTGTCCCCACCCTCCCTTCTGCTGGTACTTCATTCCAAGAAAAAGGAACTCTTTAAAGGATGAGGTTGTCTAAAAGAAAAAAACAATCACTATCAACTGAGACTCTGTCCTGGGTTGACCTTTTTTGTGTCTTTTTCCAAAGAAAAGAGCACATGATGCTAGGCTGATTTCAAGATAAAGCACTTTTACTTGCTTCAGACTGCTTTGCTGTTGAACTTGTTTCCCTTTTAATTTTATTTTAAATTGTACTTTTGCCTTTTAAGTAGCTAATAACATCTGCTTTTTAAGTTTTTTAATGTTACTAACTGTTCCCTGTTATCCCTTCCCTTGTTTTTTAATTTGCTTAAAGACGGTACTGCCACTAAAGCAGAGGGTAAGCGGTTTGTTTCTGTGATAGAGGTGTGTCTCCCTTCCCCCGGTCCTCTGTCCTCCCTGAGCTGCCTCCTGCCCGCTGTCTCCTTGAGGTCCCCTGCATGAGACTGCATGCTCTTCCCTCCACTCTTCATTCTGTTCCCACTGGGTTTTTGCCTTACCTCTACCTGAGTTCTCCCTCCTTTCTTGTTCAGTCATTGTTCTTGTGAATTTTGGCACTTAAGTACATTGTGTGTACAGGTTTTTAACTCTGAACCCAGGCTGGGGAGGAGTATTGACGTGACATTGTGTGCCACTGTCCTCTTGGCTGCTTGTCTCAGTGTATTACTTCTAAAGCACCACCTTAACTTTTATTTCCTTCTCTTTACTTTTGTGCTTTTGTGGGCCTCTCAGGAGTTGCTTTCCTGTTTTGAAAATAAATTTCAGTGTCATTTATTCAGGTTAAAGCCTGGTAAAGGTTTTTTTATCAGGTAATTTATATAAATTTAAAAAATACGTTTATCACCCCTAAAGATATTACTGAATTACACAATACCATTTTTGTATCACCACCGTATACCCCATTCATTTATTTGCTCTCATTATTTCACTCAATTGTGTATTAAATACCTTCTCTGTGCTGTGTTCTCTACGACACACAAGGATATAGCATGATGAGAAAAATACATACATCCAGATCCACTTGGTTTTAGTTTTATGCCATTCTCAAGGTCTTCCTATTGTTGTGTTGCCTTTTGAGTTTTAGACATAGATATTCCAGTCTGTACAGATCTTTGATAATCACATGCTAGACAAGATCGTCTCTTTGCAAAGTCTCTGGATAGAAGGCACAATAAGTTATGTTTCACATAATTGGAATTTAGTTACCTGGTCTACTTAAGGTAGTGGCTTAGATCCACCAACCCTCAGGATAATGATTTAACAATTAGGAACTGCTAGTTTACTTCCCTGTAGTATTTAGCCACTGTGAAAGACTAGCCTGCAAAATGGACTGGATTTTATCTTGATGTTTGTAGTTCACAGTACTTTTAATCTGTATACTACTCCTAAGGAACTCATAAAGGAAAATTAGGAATAGCATTTTGTTTTTTTAAGATGAGTATAGTCCCAAGATCAGTGTTCTTCAAACTTATCATAAAAATTACCTAGATGCTTGCTAAAAGAACAGAGGCCAGCATCTTTACTCTGAACATTCCGATTAAGTTTGGAAGGAGCAAGGAAATCTGAATTTTCAAAGAGCCCCACCGATGAGTCTCAGGGTTATCGGGGTTAGAGAAATTTGTGAAATGAAAAGCTTCCAGAAATGAAAAGATGGACAAGAAACTTGTGTCATGACGAGGACCTCGTTTGTGATAGTAGAAGACTGAAGACAGTTGTGATTTTCATTTTTTAGCTGTTACGAGTAATTTTATATTTCTTCTTCCAGAGGGAAACTAAGTATTTCCTCAGCCTGGATGGAAGGGAATGTAGAGGGTGGACTACAATAATGTATGTAGATGACATGGAAAGTGAGGTCTGTATGTGGGAAACTGTATTTTTTTCCATAATGCTCTGATTTCATATGCCTACATAACAGGATTATAATCGGCCTGTTGTTTAGGCAGGACTAGGAATTTTAAACTTTTTTTTCTTTGTAAGTTTTCTTTTTTACCAGTCCAGAGCAAGATCAGAAGTCTGCCTATGTTGTTATTGTGCAAGAGACTATGAACAAGGAGTCTCTTTCTGGTTCTCCTTCTGGTAGAGCAACGGGAGAATGATACGTGGGTCCTTAATTGTATAGTATTCAGAGTCGGCGGAAGAGAACCTTCTTGAGGGGAGCCCAGTGAGCCTTGGTCTCTGTGTCCCAGTGCTGTGCAGGCTGTTGCTGAACTGACCAGTCAGAGCCTTGAGCCTTGGGTGATAATGAGAGGGAGAAGAGAGACAGCCTTGGAAGACCTGTAAACTCAAGCAAGGCTAGGCTGCCATTTGTTTATCGCAGCAATGAAACTTGGCAGTTATGCTTAGAAAAGCTGCAGGTGGTTATTAGAAAAAGGCAGCTGTAAATATCACTGAGTGTCTTGTCATGAGTTGCCTGTCTGAATTTTTAGAATCATCGGCCTTTAAAAAATTTGTTAATAAGTCTGTTAAATATTTTACCATTTAGCTCCTGAGACAAGAAGAGATAGGTACTAACATTATCAGGAGGCAAAGAGATAATTTTGAATCAGTACTTTGATGCTCTAAATTTGAAATTCAGACAATACATTTGAATTCTGGGAACTTCATTATAATAGTAATTGAGAAAAAATAGTCTTTGGGAGTTATTTATCATACACATCAAGTTGCCTTTCTAATATTTATGACTAATCAAAAATTTTTTTTTGTGAAGAATCAAAAGCTCAGCTTTGGACAAAAGTTTATTTCCAGGTTATCTTTGAGTGTGTCATTTTTGGGATTTGGAAGAAAACATTTATGTCTATTATGCTGCTCAAGAGAAAGTTTATGTCTAGATGTTGAAGTTTTATGACAAGTGAATACATTCTCATCTAATCCTTTTTTTTTTTTTTAACTACTATGTTTAGGAAATGTGTTGTTCAAAAATTTTTTCCAAAATAAAGTGAAGGGTTACAATACTTGAAGGTACCTGTGGGTACTGATGATTTACTGATAATTTCAAG